GAGTTCTCCACATTTATACAAGACGTGCTCAAGACTGCCCATGTCAGCACAATTCATAATAGACATAACAGACAAACTTGAAAACAGCGCAAGTATCCATCCAGAATGGAACAGGTGAACGCATCATGCTCTTCGCCAAAAGTAAAACACCTCAGAATGACGAGAATAAACAAAGTTGCTACACGTGAGCCAAGGACAAATCTCCCAAACACAGCACCTAACCAAAGAGGTGAGGCCCGCAAGCACACACTGCATCCTGGTTCACTCACAACAAGCTGAGCAACAGGTAAGGCAGCCTCCAGCCTCAGAAGTGGGACGTCACTGTTGAGGGGGGTAGAAGCTTACAGGGGAGAAGATGGGAGGCTTCTGATGCTGCCATTGGCTTGTATCCATCCCATGGATGGGCTCAGTCAAGTAGATTACTGAGCTAGTTGCTGATGTTTCAGTGACATTTGTGATGCCCTGACTATACATTACACCTTGGTAAAAACTTACATACATGAGGCAGGAGGAAAGAGGGAGAAAAGGAAAGGAGAAGGGAGGTGGGGGTGCTACACATGACGCTCTCAGACCTCAGGTTCTACCCTTTAGCTCTTTTGCGGCCTTTGGTCCACCTCTTCCTTCACTAACAGGCTGTCTGCTCCCGGCTCAGCATCTGCTATGTACCTACCAATCTCAGCCCATTTCTCTCGTCTACTTTCTGGTTCACAGTTGGCTGTGATGTTAGAGGTTGTATAACAATCCTAAGTCAAACGTGCTTCACCTAGGCAGACTCCAAGGGATCTCCCGAGTGATGAGAATCCTCCTCAATATATGTCTTCTCTCTGTTGCTCAGGGCCTTTCTTGTGAGACAGCCTGCCAAACAGACGGCCATATTACTAGATCCCATCAACCATTAGGGCTTACTCATTAGGTTTACTCATTTGAAAACAGTACAGAGCAGGCTATTCATCATGGAGAATAGCTACAAAGGCAAAAAAAAAAAAATGCCCCACTTTCTGTTGGTGATATTAGGAAAGGCTTTCCTACTATGCCACTCAAAAAGGAGCAGGGTTCAACACAATATAGCCCTTTCTCTTTTGCATTTCTGTTTGTTTTATTTTAATGCCTCCTAAAAGCATCCCAGAAACTCTAGTGTCTAAAGCTTTTCTAAGCTTTTTTTAATTTTTATTTTTTTAATATTAGTTACAGTTTGTTAACTTTGTATCCCTGCTGTATCCCGCTCCCTCTCTCCCTCCCAACCCCACCCTCAAATCAATAAAACAAGAAGAAGGAAAAAAAAAAAACTCCAAGATGTAAGTTGTTGATGACTTATGTTCTCTGAAGTCTTTGCTTCAAAAATAAACATAGCTCCCAAGAGTGAAGCTAAAACTGATGTACCTAAAATGAAAATCTGCCAGGGCAACACATCTAGCACTGTAGACTCTAGAACCTCAAAGTCGAAACAAGCGAATTGCCCTGAAGACCACATGAATGAACTCTCATTCATCGGCTTCCTTTTCCTCCTGCACTCAGAACAGTCTCTTCCTGTGACTAAAATAATAACCCGTCCACTTCACCACAGTCACTCCATGATGATGTAGCAGCGTTCTGCAGACACAGTGCGCATTCCGGCCTCCACCAATAACCTCCCAGGATGTTTTTCCAAGGTAAAGTTCTCAGTCTTGGTTTTCCAGTCTTCCAGATATGCATACCAACCTCTCCCACATGCTCCACCATTACTATTATCACTACTTCTACTGCCATCTTTTTTAATACAGCTCCTAGTTCAGAGGCAATGAAGACATTACTACGGAATACACCACTATCCGCTCCGAGTAGAAGACGGGAAGAAATGCTTTCTCTCTTGCTTCTAATAGAAGGTAAACAAAGACATGGCCATGCATGCCCTCCTCCTCCTCCTCCTGGTGCCTTGTTAGCTGTCATTGCACTCACTGCTGAGGCCAGAGAAACGCAATCCAAGTCACTGTGGCTTAAGAGAGGATACATGAGCCACTTCTGAATTTGTTTGTTTTTGTGCATCAATAGGCAGGTTAAACAGTGCTATGTAAAGGACTATCCACCTCTATGGCTGGAAAAAATAGCTAAGGACATGTCGTGGTGGGTATATGAAATACCTTCAAGTTAGGATGCCGGCATTCATGATAAAAATGTACTGAGTATATAGATACTGGGAGTCAAGGAAACATCCTATGGATACAACTTAGCTCTGACATTATACCAAAGAAACAGTTTACCCCCTAAAATCCCTATATGCAGAAGTAGTAATAGCTAGCTTGGTAAGGTCTTATTTGGTTCCTGGGTATCATTTCCCTGTTCATTTTGCTAAAGGACTCCATTAAAAACAAATTTCACAGGTCTTCAGTTGCCCTGAAAACCAAGAGCAAATAAGGTAAGGGCTCTGCTTGCAGCTTCCTCTGGCCAACAACTTATGTTCCATGGTGATCCCTTCCAAATCTGCAACTTAAAAAAAAAAAAATATATTTGAAACCTTAATCATCATTAGATTTTCCTGTTCTCCACTTGTTCTTTCCAATACAGACCTGCTTATGCATAAAATCCAGACTTAGGACTTTATTCCCACTGTTCAAAATGAATGCCAGGGAAGCGGCTGATGGAGCGTCCTTGCCACCCTTCAGCAGCAGTGAATTCTCCCAGGCCTGGCTCCCCTGACAATAGCAGTCCTCGTGGACTGCAGCGCCCTCAGAGGCAGCCAGGGAAACCTGATTATCTGCAGTGATTGACACTAAAGTGTGTTTCCTTTCCTTCCCTAAGTGCTATGTTTTCCTTTAAGCTGTGAGCTATGGCCAGACTGCCACGCATGGTATCAGAACAAGAGATCAGAATCTTCAAATGGTACTTGCTGGAGCTCGGTGAAAAATGAGAGTAACACCAGAGTGTGCTGGGAGAGGTCCCAAAGGTTGCCTGCTTTCTAGCACGTTTTTCCCTCTACTACAATTGCCTGTCTTCCTCTTATACAGTAGTCCTATAAATCCAAACGTCTTCTAATCATTTGAGACAATGGCACTGGCCCGCAACCATTGCAAGTTCTTTTGTGTTGACAAAGTGAACTACAAGAAATACATCAATAAATTGAATGTACTTCTGACCACCTGAAAGGCTCATGTGCCTTGTAGGTCTTTCTCAGTCTTCACAAACAGCCCCCATACAGATAAATGATACTGAAATTTTCATGCTGTAAAACCAATGCAAAGGATTGAGGGTTTCTGCTTTCTCAAATATACCTGGCACTACCAAAATATTCCATTTTCAATCTCATGCCCCATCTGTATAATACCTCAAAAATTCATAGCAGTAGTAAGTTTTCTGCCCTACCTGTGTTTCGTTGGAGTTTTGTGCCATCTAGACTACACTTGGAGATAAAGGTAAAAGTCTTCAATTTCACAACTTAACATTAGAGATCAGAATACTGTTTAGATTGAACTTTAAAATGAAAGTAAAAGTTTTCTCCTGTTGCGAAAGCTTTAGAAAGCAGGCAGCTTCCTTTGAATGAGGTACAAATGAACTCAGTCTAGGTACAATAATGACTGGAAAGTATTTAACGCTACGGTGGCAGAAACAAGGGCCAGGGGTCTTAGAAAACTTTATTTTGAAGAGTCGTTAAGCCGACCAGTTCTAGTCTGGCTACCAGAGAGAGTCTATTCCAATAAAAATGAAAATAAGCACTAGTGAGCAACATACACTTGAGTTCGGATAATCCTGCAGCTCTAAGTCCCCGGTAAAGAAAGCGGAAGCTCGGTGCAGTGCAGCCTCAAGAAAGAGCCTTTCCAGGATTTGAGACTGTGTCAGGGAGTTCTCACCAGGAGCAAGTTTGTCTGGTACTAAAGTGAAAGGGGAGAGAGGCGTGAGCGGAGAGTGGGAGAGGAAAGTCTGTCAGCCCTTCAGCTTCGGACTGGAAGAAGTTGCTGCAGGCAGTCCTGCAGAGAAGGTGGAGCCTCCCAGGAGTGAGGGGAGGCAAAACTACACACGTACAGAGGACCGAGGAGCCAGCGCTCGCTCACTCGACAGCGCTAGAGCCTGAGCAGAAACGTTTCCTTTGCGATTCCCAAGTTGGGGGTTCTCCGCCTCCCCCCCCCCCCAGCCACGTCCCCACTCCTTCGGTTCTTGGAGAACTTTCCTCTTTGTGGCGCTTGCTGCAGTTAGCTGCTGTCGCTCACTCGGTGGCCGTTATTGACAGACTGGCAAAGGCTGAGGGAAATGCACTTAAAGGAAATCACCTGTCCTTGCCAAGACGCACACGCTGCCCAGTACCTGTGCAGAGCTCCGCCGCCGCCGCCGCCAGCCAACAGAAATCCCAGTCTAACCTCTGTCTCCCCCTTGCAAACAAATGTGTGCCACTTGCAGAGAATCTGCCTGACTCACCCCCGCCTCCGGCTTGCCAGGGAGAGACGTGAGTTGCCGGGTCCCGGAGCGGACAGGGGAGTGGGCACGGCGGCCTGGATGGCGCTGTTTCCTCAACCTGCCCCCCCCGCCCTAGCTTTAAGGATCTGGGGGTGTGTCCCCCCACCACCCCCAATTCAGGCAGGTTCCCAGCCAAACTGTGACCACCCGGGCTCTGGGGAGCACAAGCGTCACCGCTCCCGAGCCCAGGCGGGGCGTCCACTGGCCCCACAGTCGTGGCAACAACGCCCGGCTACATGCAGGCGGCTCTGCAGCGGCGGGGGAGAGCGAGCCACCCCAAACTCGTCATCTGAACGCTAAGACGGAATAAAAAGTACTTTTCCTCCCCAACCCCACCCCACCCCCCAGCAGCAGCAGCAGCAGCAGCGTCTACACTTCGTGGGGCGCCCAGCCCCGGGGATGCCCGACCCGCCACTGACCTCTCGATCGCTCGCTGCGTCCCTCCCTGGACGCGCCGAGGCCGCCAGCGCGCCCTGCGGGACCAGCCCCGGGCCCGCGCCCGCCACCCAGCGCCCACCGCGCGGGCGAGGCTTGGGGACGTGGCCGAGCCCTCCCCGCCGCCCGCTCCGGCCACTCACCTCCTGGGATCGGGCTTCCGTCGCTCGTCCAGCTTGGCGACCGAGTGTGAGGCTGCAGCGGCCGCCGCCGCCGCCGCCGCCGCCCCTTTCGCCGCCACCTCGGCCGCCGCCGCCACCTAAGCTCTGCCCCGCGCGCGCCGGGGGGTGGGGGGAGAGAGGACCGCGGGGACCCGGGCGGCGTGGGCTCGAGAAGTTGGCTCGGCCGAGGCGCGGGACGTGCGCGCGCGCGCGGGGCAGCAGTGGCAACTTTGTTGCCGGGTGGGTGGGTGGGTGGCCGGGTGGGCGGGTGCGCGCTGCGCCCGGGAGGCGGCGGCCGAGCGGAGGTGCGGGCCCCGGGGAGGGAAGGGCGGCAGCCGGGCGGCTCCACGCTACTCTGCCACCCGCAGCTCCCGCGTGTGCGCCCGGCTCTCCGTGTGCCTGCCGGGAACCGACGCTGCTGCGGCCGCCGGGGCCGGGCTCGGGGCTGGGCTGGGCGGCCGGAGCTGTGCGGCGAGCGCGAGCCCGCGATCCATATTTAAAGCCGGCGAGTGGCCTCGGCCGGCCCCCTGCCCTGCCCTCGCCGGCGCCCGCCCGGCCCCCTCGGCTCCCGGCCGCCGCTCGGCGTCAGCCGCCCGGGCTTCGGCGGCGGGGAGGGGCCTCGGGCCGCGCCGCCCCCGCTGGGGGGCTCGGCACGCCGCGCCCCGAACGGGCTTGGAAACAAGTGGGGGGCGGGGTGGGGGGGTCCTGGCTCGGGACCCCGCAAGCCTCGCCTGGCCGGGGCTCGTCTCGCGCCCAGAACCAGCCGCTGAGAAGGTTCAGCGTTCCAGCTGGCCTGGGCGCCCTCACTTGGGAAAGAACCTGAAGTTGCGTGCGCTTCCCAGCCCAGGTCTTTCTGTCTGCTGCTCTGCAAAACTTGGGGGCGTGTGTGTTGTTGGTAAAGAAAGTTGCTCTCAGTGTCAAGCCATCTTCAGTTCTTTACTGGCAAAGGACGTCTGGGGTCGTCGTGGACCCCCGCCTTGCCTTTCATTATGTCACCGGTGGCTCTGTCTGGAGTTAGAGAAACACTCTTAGCCATCCCAGGCGGGTTTCTTGGGTTTGTAAAATGATCCTTCGTGTTTACTACGCTGCTGGAGCTAATGAGGTGAATCACAATATGTCAGCGGCCCATATTGTGATCAGTTAGGAAACCCTTTAAAGGTGTGAAGCGGATGGCAGCGCGGTCGCCATCTAACGTTCTGGAGACTGCTATAGCGTGGCTATTTAATGGGCTTGAGCCATACAGTGTATGGTGAAAGCATGTATGTATTTCCTGTTCATGCATATAACATGGAAAAATCTCTGTACAGGCTCCACACAGCCGCCCAAACACATAAGCCCGGGAGAAATCACTTCGCTTACTGACTCTTGCTTCCAAAGTAGGGAATAAGAGGCTGGAGAAGGTGAAATAGATTTAATAGCAGAGGCACTTCTTCTTCTTCTTTTTTTTTTTTTTTTTTTTTCTGTTCTGTTCTTCAGCATCTAGAACTGCTGTAGATGTACAGTGTCTCCCCTGGACTGGGGAAGCAGAGATACAGAGCTTGTGTTTGGGGAAAGCTGGTGTGTCTAAAACCCTTACTCAACACTCGGAAAGCTCTGGGAACCACCCCAAGTTGCCTAATGTCTGAAATGAAAATGCACTAATGTCATGCGTTTGGCTGTTGTCGTTTCTGGCACACATTCTACCCAACCTACTGCAGCAATAGGGGCAACTGAGAAGCAAAGGGACAACGACGTGTGGCCTTTAAATCTCCCCCCCCCACACCCCAGTAATGACGCTTTTGTCTCTAGACTATGTGTAAAGGAACTGTCACTCCTAAGCACACAGCAAGAACCAGCAACCCCGAGGCTCATGAGCAAAAAGAAATCACTTTTGTATTAAGAATTTGCCACTGCTGATCAGCAGTTTTTCACGCTGTGGATTATGTATTTCAACATAGCTGGCAATTTCTCATTATAGTCGTGAACCGGCCATGAATAGTCAGCTTTGGTGACTGTCTGAGAAAGGAAAGGTCCAAGAAGAAAGAAGGAAAAAAAAAAAAAAAAAACATTTCCCATGTACTTGGCTGCAAAATATGTCAAAATGCCCTTTATGCAAAATTGATGCGTAACCCCTGGAGGCATTTTATTATCAAGATTGTGAAGAATTTGCCCTGTAAGGGGGTATAGAGCTGGGGGGGCGGATGGGGGTGAGGAGGGAATGGGAGTACTGTGGGTGAAATTTGGTATGTGTCTTAAATTAATGAGAAAAGAATTGGCCTTGGCAGACAGCCTGCCAGCTCTGTTATCACTCTCCACTTGGTGTTTGCTATCCCACAATTAAAAAATCATGTTCCATTTCCTTTCCTATTGATTATTGCCCAGTAATTGAGATTCGTGTGCTTTCCTTGGAAAGGTCATGATTAACTTTCTGTTAACTCTGTGTGTGGCCGGCCACCTTTGCTTTCGCTGCTCTGAGTGAGGACAGTAAAAACGGAGGGCTTTGTTTTTCTCTATTTCCCCCCACACACACACCTGTCCTAAAGTATTATGCAGTCTCCTTTGATTCTCATAAAGTCAAAGAAATATTAATTTGTTCAAAAATATAATTTTGTCTTATGGTTTCCAAAGTTTGAGGATGAAAGGAATGAACAGGAAAAGCTGAATGTGGTAGAACACACCTGTAATTGCAACATGTTGGAAGCGAAATCAGGAGGAGCACACAGTTTCAAGCCAGCCTGGGCTACATCGTGAGTTCAAAGCCAGCCTGGGATATATTGCAAGGCTTGTCTCAATAGCACCACAGTAAGGGGTGGGGTTGGGAGTGCAGTTCAGCTCAGTAGTAGAGTGCCTTCAGGCAGGGAGCAAGGTCCGGGTTAAAGAGCCACAAGAAAAAAACAAGGATTGGTGCAATCAATATAATCTTAACTGGTAGTGGTGTGTTTGCTTTTTGACCAATAATTCCCTGTGCTTTATAGCCCTCTGAACTACCCATTTGCTATTTTCTTTATTAATCAAGTTTCTTTCCTATCCATCCATGGTCCTAGCAGAGACACAGAGAAAACAATCTGGAGGAAGCTCTGTTTCAATGACAAGCACCATCTAGTGGCAGCAGGTGATGAAGCGTCAACACATAAAAGTTTCTGAAGAGTTAAGACCTGGGCTCGTAGATGCCTGCCATCAAAGAAGAACGGTTCGAAGTTCGAACTCACATTACACACCTCGTAAGCTTGCTATCTTAATCATCGAGTGGAAGTAGGGCACAGAGCTGACCGGCACCTAGGATTATCACCGTAGGATTTTCTGTCTGTGTAACTTTGATTAGGTCCTAAAGTATTTAAGTTGCTTTCATTTCATAAAATTAAAAAAAAAAATTATGTTCATTGCTACTTATTCACTATACAGTGGAACCTATAAACACATTTTATTAGAATTTTCATCATTGTATCAAGACAGAAAGGTAGAAGTATCATTGAATATTTATCCTGTAGTTATAAAAAAACTAACATTCTACACATCTTAGAAGGGACTAAACAGAAGGTAGTGGTAGATACACTGTATCTTGTTGCCTCAAAGTTCCTCCTTTGGAGTTTTTTGTTTGTTTTTTGTTTGTTTGTTTGTTTGTTTTTAACAGGCCACTCATTTGTACAAGTTTGACAAGTATTTTGTTACACAAAATTGCAGTTTCCTTTGTGCTGATATTTGTTTTGACTTAGAGTTGTTTTTCCAGTAAACAGTATTGCAGCAAAGATTCGCTGAAGTTCCTACTCCTAGGTCAGGGTAGCCACTGCCTCAAGTGAGAGCAATCAACTCAGCCTTGCTCTGCAACTAGTCTGGAAAAAACCTGAGGAGGTGGGATCAGAGGAGGGAATGAGGGAATCGGAGGGGAGGAAAGGGCAAGGAAAGAGAGGAAGGACAGGGAAGGGGAGGAAAGGGAAGGAAGGGGAAGGAAGGAGAGAGATAGACAATTAGGGTCATCTAATCAATCTTCCATTTTTCTTTTACTCGGACTCAATGTGACAAATTCCTGAATAAATTCAACTAACCTAGATTTATAATCTGCATTCCCTTCTACAAACCTTGGGTTTAAAAATAGCTGCAGCCCCTTTTTATGAGGCAAGGAGGAAGGTGAAGATGGTTTTTGCAAACTGTCAGCATGGCATGAGCTGGGGAAAATGGTTTTATTTGGTTAAACGTGTCATAAGTTGCTTTACAGCTTCAACAGCTAACGTGTAGACCGTATCCAACCATCATTTTTTAGAACACATGCCTAAAATCAAGTATCAGAAGAGTCTCTGGCTGCTAAAAACAGGATCTGATCTCTGTTAAAGTAAAAGGCAAGATATTCAGCCTTTCTTAGCTTGGATTCCCTTAGCAGTAAAATTAAGGGGTGCAAGTTACCCAAAGTGTAGTAACTCCATTAGGGACACCGGAATGCTTTCCTCTGATGAGATCGGAACAATACGGTGATAGAGAAACATGCAAATCCTCCAGAATGCTGTTGACGCATTTGTCATCCCGAACTGTTTGGTAACCTCAGGCGAGTCTCCTAGCCTCTCCCTCCTACAGGAATCCTCTCAGAGATCAGAATAACACAGGACACTGGCCTCTCTGTTCAAGGGAGAAGGAAAAACCCTGAAACAAGCAACCAAGCCACTAAAACCTACAGCTGTGATTAAAGATTATCTGTTCTTGGGAAACAAACATAATAGAGAATTATGTCAGAGTTCCCTGCCAAATGGACCCTGATTACGGGGTGTGTGTGTGTGTGTGTGTGTGTGTGTGTGTGTGTGTGTGTGTGTGTTCATTCCAGCCTTGACTCAGACACAGGTGTTTGTCCCTTGTGTCCCAGGCCTCCCACCTCCTTGAGAGATGAATAAGTCCAGATGCCAGACTACCTCAGAGCTGCCCTTCCTTTTCTGCCTGTGGCTTGACTGGTGTGGATCAGCTGTGCCATCAGTCAGAGGTACATTCCCCTGCAGGCTGACCCGGCACTAGAGAGAACCGGCCCCAACCCGTTCACGTCCCTAAAGCACCTAGGTCTCCTTTCCAGTAACTAACAGCATTGCAAGTTCACATCTGCCAGATGTGCGTGTAGCAAATGTTGCAAGATGAAAAATAAACATTAACATTGTGCTCTCCCTCCCCTCCTCCCCTGGGAAAGAACATTCTGAGAAGATTTGTCTTATGGTGTCCAGTTTTGTACTCCAGACCAAAGGCTATTTGTTTCCCAACAGAACACAGGTCACCCACACAACTAA